AAATTTGATTCATTTATTTATTTGCAATACATGCACTAGATATAGCTAAAAGAAACTTTCCATCTGTAGTTCCTGGGTGCAGGCTTTTCATGATGCACCAGTATTGCTAAATGATAGCAATAACTTGTGGTAACTCAAAGCTAGCACCTGGATTCACACAGTGAAACGCCCTTAATGGTTTTACAGCTAGAGCACAATGCCAAAAGCAAAGATAACAAGCATTTCATCACTGCAAGACATTTCTAACCACAAGTATCACTCTCACACAACTTTATGGCAACAAGAATGAGAATCTTTTAACCACATTTGTAAACCATACTTAAAATGCTAAAAAGTACTGCACCCACTGATGCTTTGTGGTACTTAATTCCACAACCCAGATGCCTTAACTAAAAAAAAATTAAAGATATCAGTATTACTCAAATGTTGTAGACCAGAATTTAACATGAATGCATGTTGTTACAAACCAGTTCAAGTAGTTGTGGTGCGGTAGTTGCTCACTGTAGGCATAAGCACACTTTTAAATGTCAAGAACTGTACTAATTGTCTGTTTTGCAGTAGTGATGATAGCTATTATATCCACTATTGTGCCAGTGTTTGCTCATGAAGAGTTGTGTGTAGTCTATTGATGCACTATTTGTCTGAGACCTGGTAATGATACAGTATGAAAACTGTCTCCAGGAGTTCCTCTTCCTTTATTACTCATATCCTCCAACAGGCTCTGCATACTGCTGGTGGGACAAAACCAGCAACCTGAGTTTTTTTCTTTCAGAGGCTTCACATCCGGGATATAAAAACCTGTCGTGCAAATTCTTTGACACAGCTGCACCTGTCTGGTAAATGTTATCAGATAGATCTTATGCCGTTAAGTCATCGCCTTCACAGACTTGAACTTTGGAACTGTCTGCTGCTCTTTGTTTGCGCAGGTTCAGTGACACAGGACACTCCCCTCCCTGTGCAGGTCACCTGTAATCATGCATTACTTCACCCAGGAGCAAGCCCTCGCCTACAGATCACTCGCATCTCTTGCTTGCTTCAAATGTTTTTCCAAGCATCTGAGTCAGTCTGGTTGTTCATCATTACAGTTACTGCTAAGAAACTCTAATGATGAATGCAACTGCATGTGACATGGTGGTTTTTGAGAGGACAGTTGGATTGAGCTTGTGTCTCATAGTTTCTCCTCTCTTCCTGTGCAGGTGGGGGATATGGTGAAGGTGACCAAAATCAACGTGAACGGCCAATGGGAGGGGGAATGCAAAGGCAAGCGCGGCCACTTTCCCTTCACGCATGTCAAACTGCTGGACCAGCACAATGCCGAGGACGAGCTCAGCTGAGAGCGGACCACCGGGCCTCTACCTGGACACTAGTGGTAGACCCTTCCTCGCCCCTCCTCCCCTCCATTCTACGTCCTCTCCCCACTTCACCTCACAGCTCCAGCTTTTATCTGCACCAAGTACAGTTTCAGAGAATCACTGAGAACAAAACTGGCCCTCACTAGACTTGTAATGCACATACCCTCCATTTCTAGCCTCTTACGTAGACACAGTTACCCTGCGCATCCCCCACCTGCCCTCACTTACTGACAGACCGAATTCAGTCATCTACAGTGGAACAGATACAAAGTGACTCGCCCGTCTGTGGATTAGGCGACACCCTTTAGAACCTTCCCTCCATCGTAGACACATTATCAACACTCACTCCTCGGGAGACTCCTCGGCGCAGAGTTCAACCACTTCCTCGTTCTGTGTCAGAGCCTGTAGATAACTGCTGTTGTTTCTTCATCTGTCATCGTGGAACACTGTGGGGTCACTTGTGCTGCATTGATGTCAGATGGGAATCCAGCAGCAATCCCGGTTTTGTATGTGCTTAGTCTTAGAGGACAGTAGGCAACCCTCTCATTTCCACACGGTGAATATGAAGGTGGAGATAGTTAGCTTAGCTAAATCAGCCGGTTGCAGTTAGCATGAAGGAGAAGGAAAACAGCTACACACTGATCAGGTTTCTTTGAAGTTTAGAATTAAACAAAGAAGACTGCACGTGCTAACCTTTGGACATAGCCTCTTCCATTTTCTGATCTTGATGCTAAGCCTGATCAGAGCAGCACAGTCAAACATGGCTCCATTATTTTATTTTCTTCTACATTTTCCTTCATATTGGACATGAATGCAGCACTATTCTGTGTTACCCACAACTCCAGTGTGATCAAATACAGCAGCAACATTTTAGAAAAGAGATTTAACTGATCTCCATGGGAAATGATTGAGCTCGGTTTTGGAGGCTTGCTGTTCTCGAGGAGAAGACCCAGTCCAACACTCACTTTACCCTCCTGCCTGGTGTCAAACGGAGAACTGAGTGAAGACCAGCAGCTCGGAGCAACTTCATGTAGCTATAGCCATAGTTCTAGCCCCAGCAGCCAAGCAGAGAAGCTGCGAGACTGTCAAGGAGGTGGAGGCGATAAAGGCAACACTACATTCTCTCACTTCAAATACCTATCCAGCAATCACCTATGACCAAGTACCACCAAGTAGTCTTTTTTTTTGTAAGAAAAAATAAGAACATACTGTTATGAAATGACGTACTATGTGATTATCATTACATGATAAATATTGATTTATTTTTGTTTGTTTGTTTGTTTGTTTTTGTTATTTTGTAGTTCTCTTCATAGCTGGTTTAGTACCAAGGGGCGAAACACTTTTTACTGCTGCATGTTGGGAGGGAGTGAAGGGTGCAAAATGAACGAACTGACTTATGGGGGAGGCACGTCTGCCCCCCACCCAAGCCCCTCACAAGGGCCATGGTGTTCTCATTCTGCGTGTGATGTACATGATTGAACAGAGTGAATGTAGGCTGTCCACTATACTAGTTAGTACTGTCTTTACATGTTAGTGCTCTCCATTCGCTCACAGGATTTACTGTAACAGAACTGACTCTGTGTTCAGATCTTGTCAAGTGTGTCCAAGAAAAGAGAAAATGGTGGAAATATTTGATCCCTGGCCGTTTTTTGTTTTTAACCTTTTAACTATGTTGTTGCCATCTTCCACCAGTGTGCTCTTTTAATCCTCAGGCTTATGGGCCTTTGTTTCATTTGTGCTTCCTCAGTTAATCCTTTTTGTCAGTCTTTAATTTAAAGCCCTTTATTAAGTTACAATGCACAAGCCAAATCTGCTTTACTGCTTTATTCCTCTCTCTGTTTTCTTTATTTCCCACATTCTAAGTAGTGGTCTAGATTGCCTTTCCCCCCCCCTCTCTTTGTAAAATTGAATCGGTTTTACTTGTTGACACCTGACAATCATCCCCATCATTTATCAAAATGCAGACTGGCTTGGATTGAAGCAGGCTGGGTGTGCGGCTTAAATCTTTACCAGAGTTAACCTGCTCAACTTTGAATTTGATCTGTGAGAACTTGATTTCTCTTCCATGTGAAGGGTTCCTCTCAGAAATAATGGTACAGTGTTTCTGGCCACCTCCTTGAGCAGCCCTTAGGTGGCACTGTGACAGCATTCAGAAGGGGGCTCCATGCTGAAGGTGAAATCCTCCAGCGTTTGAGATTAAAGGAGATGAAATTTGATTTTATCTGGTCCATTCTGCATTGATATTTGTGCTCTTTAGATTGACATTACTCGTTGCTTTTCTGTCCTCATAGTTCTGCCCAATATCTTCAGTCTCGCTTTCAGATTTCCTTTTTGTGTTGGCCATATCCAGCTTCAATACTGTAATATTTCCTATTTAAAGATATTACTAAAAGATAATCCGGTTGATGAAATTGCATTCATCTTTGCTGCCAGCTTTCTGATAAGGTTCATTTTTATCTGTAATTTTGATCAAATCTGACTTCTGTGTCACTCATACTGCCTATGGCAGGTGCTTAGCTACATAAATCATTACCTTTATAAATTGTGTTGCCAATGAAACCACCAAGAAGTATTTTTTTAGTAGCCCTGCATGAAGTCATTCGTTTCCTTTCATGCAAAGGAAGGGGTGGCAAAACAGCAGTGGTAATTGTGTTAATATCAAAATGTGCCATTTTATTATAACACTATATTCTTTCAAGACAAATTACCTTTTTATTTTCTGTAGCATGTAATGTGTTAATATACTAGTAAATAAAGTCAAACCCATGACAAATGACTCGTTTTGTGTGTTAGATTTGTATATGCTGGTAAACTACCTACACCTTGAGTCAACCATCACTTCCAAAAAACGTGGAAGGAGACTAACCTGTATTTTAATGCTGGCTTTTCTAGCTATACCTTCAACTTTTTATTTACACTAGTGTGAATGGCAAACACTTAAAGCTAGAACACAGACTTTTAATCAATATGTACATTTCAGTTCGCACAAAAAATGACAGTAATGACTGCTGTTCAAGACCAACTGTTGCTACTGACAATTAAAAAACATTTTACAATAAAGTGGAACATTACTTTGTAAGCAGTACTGTGCAATACTGCAAATTTTAGTATCGATCCAATACCAAGTAAATACATAGCGAGTATTACCAATACCTCTAGAAGACTTAGAAAACGCAAACAGAATATTGCTCTTGTCACGCTAGTATTGATCAGATAGTAATACCAGTGTTGGTATCGATACTGTTGATATTTTGGGATTGGTCTGCTCTAATGAGCACGGCTATTATTATCCCTTCTCAAACCTTACTTGAAATGTTAAAGTGTGTTAATATCTGTGAAAATGTTGAGGTAAAATAAAGGAGAAACATTGTCTGTTACGTTGAGAATTTTCTGTGGCACACTTTGAGCTCCACAGTCTAATGATGCTGTCCTGTATTTTGGAGTACAAGCTACGTTTTGTATTATTTATGTAGTTCAAAAAATACAGAATTGCACCGCTATAAATATCATAGACCAGGAACAGAAACTGGTGGTGTTAACACACTATACCGTAGATGTGATTCAACGCCTGCATTTATCGTTATTACTCTTGCTTTTCTCTTCAAAAAAAAAGAAAAAAAAAACAATAGAGGAGGAAGCATCGGAGTCAGTGAGTCTTGTGCGTATGCGCAGTACCCGGATGAAGCTGGTCGCCATCTTTACTCCATCCCAGCGCTGCCGGTGGGGCGGAACAGCACTCATCGACCCAGTTGGTTTGAAGGAGCCACAGACAGGGCTGGCACATCACCACTGTGTTTTGCACTAACGATCTGTCACTTTGATTAGCCCTTTTGCTACGCTACCTGTATCTTGATACACAATGGGAGAGCGAGAGGATCTAGTTTATCAGGCGAAACTCGCCGAGCAGGCAGAGCGATATGACGGTAAGGCACCATCTCTGGGCCGGCTTGGAGTGGGACATGTTCGCCGATGGGATTTTTTTCTTTTTTTTTACTGTGCTAGCTAACCTTAACCGAGCACCGCTTTGCTGTGTAGCTCAACGCTAGCCGCGGCAGGCTACATGGCTAATGCAGCTACCATCGCAGATTTCCAACTGTTTATTGGCCAAGACGTATGGCTTTTTGTCCGGTGACAGTACTGCGACATTAAAACAGTTCGTGAGCACGAAACCTGTTTGTTCTGAGAAAAGTGAGCGGATGTCACAGACATTGGCTAGCATTAGCGAAGGGGCTACAACAAAATGGCGGATTAGTGGAGCGTGAGCTGTCAGGAGTTGCCTCCCCTGCACCAGCTAGCTGTGTAACTTTACACATGAGCCAGTGCTTCTTTTCGGTATAAGCAGCACTCGTTGCTTAACTGACTCCGTTTATTGACCTGGCAACTTTTACGCCATTCTGTTGCAGATACTAGGAGGATTAGCACCTTGAAACCAATGTGTATTAGCAGGGAGTGGGAGGTCAGATGTTCACTTCGTGGGGTGTTCCCATGCAAGCAAGCTGGACAGATCGATTGGCAGAAACGACCCCCTCTTCCTCTCCCCGGTGCACTCCTATAACACTGTCATACCATTACAGGCCGTGTACAGGCTGTTTTTAGACGACTGCCTTTGCCACCCGGTCACACGTTGCTCAGTAACGTTAAGTGAATGTACCATGACTCATTCACGGGATTTGAACCGAGTGTATTTGCAGAGAGATTTATGGTTTACTGGCTAAATGGTTTACTGGCTAATGCAAATCTATTCGATCACTCTTAAGCTTAATGAAATTTTAACATGTCAGGTAAAGGTTTCTTTTTTCTTTGAAGGTTTCATATTTTAAGGTGAGGCGAGGAGGGGCGGGGAGTCAGATGTTTGCTAAATTACATCAGCCACTTTTCCATCCGTACTATCCGTTTAACCTACTTTCAAAGGGTTAAACCCCTCCCCAGCGGTAAATGATGGCACACAGCTTAAACTGAGAAGTGCATTGCTTATCGCTTAAGCAAGTAACCAGTTTATGTGTGTGTGTGTGTGTGTGTGTGTGTGTGTGTGTGTGTGTGTGTGTGTGTTTGTTGGATTGGTGCCAGAGATGGAAGAAACTGCCTCAGCATTTACTCTTTAACACTGTCTGTCACCTCACATCAATGCCCTTTCTTGCATGTCATCTCTGGGCACGGTTTGCCAGGCGTCCGACTGTTTCATTTATTATGATTATCAGCCCGAAACCCATGAATTTGTGAGGCACGTCAGATTGTGCCACTTAGGTTGACAATGTTGCCAATGAGGCATACTCTCAAGAGACATGACAAAAATAAAACTGTTGGCAAATCCTGGGCATTTCTTTTAACAGAGATGGTGGAGTCTATGAAGAAGGTGGCAGACATGGACGTGGAGCTCACAGTGGAGGAGAGGAACCTACTATCAGTGGCCTACAAGAATGTGATCGGAGCTCGGAGAGCCTCCTGGAGGATAATCAGCAGTATCGAACAGAGGGAAGAGAACAAGGGCGGAGAAGAGAAACTGAAGATGATCCGGGAATACAGGCAAAAGGTAAAGCACTCGAGAAAGGCTCAAGCTTAGATTTCTGTTTTAGATTGTTCTGTAATGTCTCAGCATCCAGAATGTGTTCTCATTATAAAGATCGGCTGTGTTAGTGCGAGATCACAAACACACATTAGCGATGCACACTCTGAGCAGCTACTGGACAGACTGCATCTGAGTCATAGTTGGCAAGTCCTCCACTCTTGCCTTTTTTATGAAGGGAAATAAGAGCTGCTGTTATAATGGGAGAGGCCAGAGAGTGTCAGAGATGGGAGAGGCACTTGGACTGCAGTCAATGACATAATTGGATTCAGGGAGAGTACACCTTGATTTTGTTAGTAGCTCTCTAAGTCCCTGGCAGACACATTTCTTATCACTGGCACGCCATTCGATAAGCTTTGAGCAACATCCTGATTGTTTAGTAAATATCAAATATTAAAGCTACTCTAAGTGGTCCATTAAAGAGGTTGTTAGGTTGGAGTTTAAATAAAGGTTGAAGGGAATCGGTTTACAAATATGGCAGTGTTTCCCACAGATTTAGTTTCTGTTTGTGGTGAAGAATGGGCTGCTATGTGCATGCACATGTGGGAATTATTAAATAATACCAGTTATAAGGTTCTCTGCAAATATTTTACAAACTAATTACTGTGTTACAAATAAATAGGAGATAAGTGTAGACTCCAGTTCCAAGCTGCAGTCCCAGAGGGTGGAGTTGGAGCCAGTTATTTGGTGGGATAAGAGACTCAGTGGAAAAGCGGTTGAGTAGTATTGATGGACAGTGAGTCTGTTTGGTCAGCAGCAACAGAATAGGAGTACGGAGGCTGTCTGTGCAAGAAAAATGGCTGCTGATGGTGTCGCGTTTTTCAAAGGGATAAAAGAAAAGTCAAAAAGGCTTGAGTGTACTTGGGTGGCCTGCTCGTGTGGGGAAACACTCTTGAGCTTCTGATAAGCGTTGAGCAACATCCTAATTGGATTAATAAATGTCAAATATTAAAGATATTACAAATGTTGTTAGCAGGGAGTTTAAAGGGGGTGATAAAGGTCCTAAAGAGACCACAGATATGTGTTTGTTGTCCCAAGTTATTGGATCCTTTTTTGATCTTGATGGATCTTGAACGTGAACCTTTGCAGAAACGGGCAGAATTTCTCATACTGGATTCTGAAATTACACAGGAGCAGGAATCCAAATTGATACTTGGAGATTGTGTCAGAGGAAGAGGATCACTCAATCAGTGTGTTTTTATCAACAGGTGGAGAAGGAGCTGAAGAACATCTGTAATGAAATTCTGGAAGCACTTGAAAGGCACCTACTGCCATCTGCTAAGATAGGAGAGTCGAAGGTCTTCTACAACAAAATGTAAGAGCCTTGATGTTAATTATCAGATAAATACAGTAACTTCCTCTGGTAATCAAGTACAGCTATCTTTTTGGGCTGGGGTATTTATCGACACAGGAAACCGTTGTCAGGAACACTTCACAGGAAATAACATGTAAAATGTTTCTTTGTTTCCTTCCACTTGCAGGAAGGGTGACTACCACAGGTACCTGGCAGAGTTTGCCACTGGCAACGACAGAAAGGAGGCAGCAGAGAACAGTCTGGTGGCCTACAAAGCTGCTACTGACCTAGCCATGTCAGAGCTGCCACCCACACACCCCATCCGCCTCGGGCTCGCCCTCAACTTCTCCGTCTTCTACTATGAGATTCTCAACTCACCTGACCGCGCTTGCAGGTCACTGCTCCATCACTGCAGCAGCACTGTCACTGTAACTCAGGGCAGCTGTTTGTTTTTTTGTTTTTTGTCTGTATATTACATAACAGCAAGACTGTCCCTCACTGCTGAGTGGACTGTATGACGAACCCTGACTCAACTCCTGTTTGAGGTTGACCTTCGCCCTCCTCATGCCCATAGGTTGAGGATTAGACTTAGACTTTGCAGTAATGCTGTATATTATAAGCCATTCTTGATTGTCTTTGACTTTATGTTCACATTTACCCAATACTGAGTTCCAGACACACAGTGCTACATGATTTCGTACAGCTGGAATCATAACGCAGCTTAAAAATAATCAGTAAAAACATGATTTTTCTGTCTGAAGCATGATGTGATTTCAGCACACGTTTGTTTGCTCAGGTTGGCAAAGGCTGCGTTCGATGACGCCATCGCAGAACTGGACACACTGAGTGAAGAAAGCTACAAGGACTCCACACTTATCATGCAGTTGTTACGTGACAACCTGACACTATGGACTTCAGATATGCAGGGAGAAGGTAACAGTCCTGTAGTGTGTTTATTTCATCAGGTGTTTTTCTATGATGGTATTTCTACCTGTGTCTCAATGCAGATCTTTTTCCAGGACAAGCTGCTGACACTAACCCACTCATCTTCACCTTAACACTTTCTTACATTTGTTCTTATAATGTGTCTTTATACTGTGAGCATCTTGATGGCTTTTTTGTCTCACTGACAGCTTGCGAAAAATAATAGAAAAAGGCTTGATAGAAAATCAACTGCCTAACAGTTCAATTCAGTTGCAACTAATCAGACATGTTGCTACGTTTTGTTTTTGTTTACTTGAAAAGCTGAGTGGTATTCCTGCTCAAGGACTGTTTGTGCAGAATTTAAACACTAGACAGCTAGGAAAAAAAAGTTAGAGGTCTTCTCTAATCTGCTTTTCGATGGAAAGTTCTGGGAACTCGGATTTCCCAAGAACTAATATCTAGGAATTTTTCTAAGACCACGTATTCCTCTAGCACACCAAGCCTTGTGCTTTAGCAGCATAGCCCGACAATCCCAAATGCAGGATGTGTAACTATGCTGCAGAAAACAATAACTCACTTGGTCAGTTTCCAGCAGTCAGCAATGAAATTCCCACCCTGAGAGTTGTTCCTCCAGTCAACACGTACATAGGTCTGAGGGTTTTTTCAGTGGTAATGCACCTTTTGTTAATAATTTGACACAAATTTCAATTTTAAAATAAAACAAGTCAACAGCAGCCGTCAGGACTGTGTCAGGTGCTCACAGTGTGCCTGTCGAGGTACAGAGAGTTTTTGTTTTTTGTGGGGGGGAATTGCTGTGTTGACATGACGCTGAACTGGAGGCATCCCATCTAACCTGTGCTCCTGTGTCAGAATTAGATTCTCGTGCTGAATGATTTAAGAAAAACTGTTTTCAACAGTCGAATCAAAATTTGAATGAATTTGTGTGAAGTAAATTCCACACAGAGAAAACTTCATCACTACAGATATAGTAGTGTGCCTGAGACCAGTTTTGTAAAATTGCACATGTTTAGCTCACACATGTAATATGTGGAGCCACACGGACTCGTTCTCCAGCTGCTGCAGGTTCTGGTTTATGTAGTTTTCCAGACCGCAGCAGTGGTTGATTGCAGCCCATGACAGTGCAGCTGAGATAGATCTGACAGATATGCTGGAGATGCAGCTGATTGATATTGAGGGTTCAAGCTACCTGGTCAGCTGGCCCAAATGGCAAGTGTGAGAAGACTATCAGTTGTCGACAGTGTTGTTCTCTTTAGCTTTAAAAGGGGAAAAAAATAGCAGACAAAGTGAGTCACCACAACTTGGGTGGCTGTTAATATACCTAGATGGCCTCACTAAGTTAAAACACTGTGTTAATAAGCTCAAACATGGAGGTTGAGATTCCAACAGCTGTCTAAAGCTGTCTATTTGGCAAGCTACTGCCTAACTAGTGAGGTGTGGCTAGTTACCTGAAACCAACACCTGTGGTAATGGCACAACACTAGCTTGTTTTGGTCTCTAACCAAAACCTCAGAAATGATACAGAGGGATGTGCTGTCTTGTAAGGCATAAAGAGCGCAGTCATCTGCATACAGATGACACATGAAGCTGATACAGCCAGCATTTGTCTTGGTTCGCCAAGTCCCACAATGATTAATAAAGTGCAGCAGAGTAAATCTGTCATAGCTGATCTTCTTGTAGCTGTTCAGCTGTTACTAGCAACAACTTTTGGTGTAAGAAATTTACAAAAAAGAAATCATTCAGCCCTTTTTGATTCATTTTTTTCTATTCCTTTCATTCCAGCAGTATGCATCAGCTACGCTGCAGAGCGTCCACCAAGACCTTTTTTTATTATCATTATTATTATTTCAGTGACTCATCACCTCTCTTGTCTTTTTCTCATTCCCTCTGCTGTAGAGTCCTAAAGGAAACAAACCTGTACATTTCCCATGTTAACTGTACTTTGTAAGTGTTGCTCACCCACACATTTGCTCTGTGTGTGTTGTGTGTGGCTTGTTTTTACCTCTCTGCACTAGCTCACTCATGGTTTAATAATTCAGCCCACTCACTCACCCATTCACTTGGATCTTGTATTAACTTTTGGTGACATGCTCTAATCTTTGGTCTTCCCATCACAGTCTCATGTAACTGGCTCACTTGACTAAAGGTAGTTTGTATAGTGTGATGAGTAGTTCCCCGTTGTACCTGTGCACAAGCAGAGTGCTTTACATCATGTTATTTGCATGCTTTCACACCGTGGACCAGTATAGCCAGCCAGTCATTTAAAGACATTCAGGTCCATTCAAGTGGTATGTTCACGTTCACGTTTAAAGTAGTGCTGCAGTATTTGGTGAAGAACAGGGTCATTATTAGTTTAATGGAAATGGCAGTGTTTGCCAAAACCATTGCCTTCTAGAGGTGCTTGTTAACCTAAGCTAAGCTAACACTGAAGGTGTTGAGTTTTATGTAAAACTTGCCCCCCACCACCAGCACACAAACACACACTTTGAGCTCTGTTTCCAAACTATGGAAATGAATGCACCATTTCACCCAACACCTGAAACCGTAGAAAATTAGCATCCAGCGTGCAGGTTTTCTTTACAGATTTCTGCTAGTTGCAAAATTCAAGTGTTTGGGGTTTTGTTTCTTTTCCCCCGTTATAAACAAGTCACATACATAACAGTACAGTAATAAATATTGATGGAACCTAAAGTGGACCCATTATGCTTTTCTTTATTTTATATTTTCATTTTTTCAGTGGTGGGTGGCTAAAGATTTAAAGAATCAGCTCAGTGTCAGTGCATGTAATCACATCTAAACACTTTTTTTTTTCTACTCAACACTGTATGATGTCAGTGAGAGAGGATATCCCCAATATGGTCGTGTCAGGCACACAGCTTTGGCTGTGAGCACAGTGTTTGTGGAGGAAATCTAATCTGGAAACAGTTCTACATGCACTGTAGGATTGGGCCATATCATACTGTTCATGGTAATACCGGTATAATGTTAGGCAATGATAAGAAAATGAAATATCGCGATAGAATATAGGTAAAACGCGCATGCGCAGTGCGTTTGTTTTCATACGCACATGGCGGCGACAGAGAATGAGAAGGGCGAAAGCGGATCGTTGAATGAAACGGATGAACCAGAATTGGTTTGTAAAAATGCTCCAACTTCAGTGGTGTGGAACTGGTTTGGCTTTCTTCCGTCAGATACACAACAAAGCACAATTTTTGGTAGAGCATGCTAGCGGGCCGTCGCTGTTACTGTGTTTTGTTTTGTTTTTTTGGAAAATACGGCACACTTAAAATCAATCCTTCGATTTTCTGAAAAATCGACAGTGCCCCTTATAATCCCGTGTGCCTTATGTATGAATTCTGGTTGTGTTTACTGACCCCGAACCGATTTTATGTGGTACACGGCGCGCAGAAATCTGTCAAAAAATGTTGTAGTACGACTTCGTAAGCTACGAAGCCGCACCGCTTGATGGATTGTCGGAGCATTACGGCTACCGTAGTCAGGAGCCTCGCGGAGTGATACGTACTGTGCTTCAACATAATATTACCGTATTGTGTGTGTGTGTGTATAACCTCTTTTTAAGTTTTGTGGATATTATACATGGTTATGCTCAGGATATGTTGGCCAATTTCCACTGGTTAAACTGTCAGCAAAGAATTTGCATTTGCACTGTTAAATTTTTTTTTTTAATAGTTCTAATGCACATAAAAAAACAGCTGCTCGTTTAAGTGAAAATACATTGACGAGGGTTTTTTTTGGGGGGGGGGTTTGCATTAATAAAGTTGTGGAGTTGTAAAGCATTTTGTCTGGCGTCAATTATATCATCAGTTATATCGTTTATCGCAAATTTTCGAATATATATCGTGATAAATATTTCTGGCCACGTTGCCCTGCCCTAATACACTGTTCTGCATTCTCGATATTTATCTCTTTATTTACCAGTTTTTGTTTTTTGTCAGTCTTTAGTCCTTGTGAAATCATCTGTCTCTAAGAAAAATCTGCCTCAAAGTCCTCCAAGCAGATTTCAGTGGAGTTCAACTTGTTTCAGGCACTTTGGTAAAATCGGTTTCTGTAGCAGTAGCAGTGGTAGGCTAACTGCACTTTGTTTTTCATTGTATTCACAGGGTGCATGCAACCTATTAGTTCTAAAAACACTTTGGCTGATAAACGGGTCAGATTTAGCTGAAATGAGGGATTTGAAGATATGAGTGTTTTGCATATGCAGATTAAACCAACCAAGTAATTGCAGTCGGCTTGATTCGAACCCGCTGTTCCATGCACTGGTAATCATAATACCACTGTGCATGCATTTATTAGAAATTATTGGTACCACTACTACTTGGATGCTGCCGTAAAATGCAGACCTTCTGTTCATCTGAGTGTCTTGTCTGTAGTCCTCTAATAATTCTCATCCAGCCTGGTTCATATATCAGTCTGTTGTAGGAAAGACTATTCAGAATATCTCTGCCATTATCATCATATATTTGGAGGGTGAAAAAGTTACATTAACAGGTTAGTGATTCAGTGTCATGAAGGTGACTCTCTTTACATCGCTATGGTAACTTACGCCGAACACATAAAGGTGTCCAAAGGGGGCAGTGTCACCATTTCTGTTATTGCAGTGACAGGAAGCCAAATACTCAGAGAGAAGCTGCAAACTCTTAAGCGAAATAGCTACCACCATAATCTCCTCAGGTCCTCAAGGCTTTGGTTTGTGTTCAGTTTCACCTGTCACGTCAGACATGCCTGCCACTTGTGCACTACCGAAGGATGATATCTTGTGAGGTTTTTTAAGAGGAGCTAACAGTAAATCTCTCTCCACCAGGTGAAGAACAGAACAAAGAGGCACTGCAAGACGCTGAGGACGAGGCCCAGTGAGACTATGCCACCAACAGCCAACAACTTGAGACCCTCACCCCACCCCCTGCACTCCCTCCACCTTCATCTTCCTCCTCCTCAACCGCCCCACCCATCCATCTACAAGTCACTTTCCTCTTTGTTGTCCTTTTTCCTTTTCTTCCACCTCTGTAGCTCCAAGACCCAACAGGGCCACGGAGTTAACAAGTTAATTTTTCTCTTCTTTTTTTTTATTTTTTATATTAGCCCTGACATCGTTCAAGTAAATACCACTTAATTGAGGCAGGAAATACAATGTTAGAAAGGCAAAGATAAAGAAAGCGGTCCCTGGATTGTTTCTTTTATTTTGTCCTGGTACAAGCAGTTCTGAAAATGTTATCTTTTGGTTTCATTATTGTATTTTTTTGTTGTTTTTTGCTTCTTCTTTTTTTTTCCTCAATATTTTTATCAGTTGCTGGATGTATTGAGAATTTTTTTTTCTTAATGTAATTACAGAAATTAACTTTTATTACTGACAATGTTGACTATTAGTTGTGGGAGCTATTTTATCTGTTTTTAATGAAATGTCATGCAGATCATTTGACCGTTTTTAGGGGCAGTTTGGACGAGTACAAGTGCCCTTTTTGTTAACTTAGTAGTTGAGAGGAAGTTGGCAATATTCGCGATATCCACGTGGGGCAAAGAAGTGCTTAACTTTTACACCATAGTGATTCTGTTGTCATGTTCATGTAGTTGTCTTTGGACTGTACTTTGTGCTGAAATACTGTAACTGTGCACACATTCTGGCTCTCTGAAGGTTTATCTCTTGCTGGTGGTTTGAAAAAAGAAAAACAAACTTAGGAGCTCTCTAACTTGTGTAAAAGAGTAGACTTAATTTGGCCCCATCCTTAAATAAAGAAGATTAGTACTTGCATGAGTTAAAAAGAATTAATATTCTATTTTTCTTTTCTGCTGCTTCCCCCTGCTTTTTATCAATGCTCCTCTGCCATTCAGAGGGTGTTTTTTCTTTTGCAGTTTCTTTTTGTGTTGCTTCATTATGTGTAACTTGGAGCTGATTTGTACTACTGGATATCTGACTGGAGCCACAGACAGGGAATCTGTATTGTTCTTACTGAAACACAGCATGGAATTAACATTAAACAATCTAAATTAAACATTATAAGATGACATGTGGTGTTTATTTTGTTGCCAAGACTTCACATTTAGGGACTTTATGTTAGGATATGCTCAAGTCTGTCAAGTCTTTGTCAAGACCCTGAATGAAAAATAATGGGAAAGAAGCGGGGATTCCTTACTGTTACTGGACAACAGACTTGGAGAGCTGTGTAGATGAATAATCTATGACCACAAAAAAACAAAATCAATCTGACCCCATCCTTCATGGGTGGGTCCTACACTCTGAACCAGCCGTGGACAGCACAAAATTCATTTACTATTAGTTGTGTAATGATTGGTTAAGATTTGTAGCATCACAAGTTGTGCTACAGAATATAATTGCTTTGCCATTATCACTGAACTTGCTCATACTGAGATCCTACAAGAAGCGTGATTGTTGAGTATTATGAGTCCTTTCTTCATGATTACCAGGTGAAATATGATTATAAAACTGCAAGGATGCAGGAAGTGGAGCAGCCACAGTTTGCTTCAATGGTGCAACCAGACACCGTAACATGTCAATTACATTCATCAACTTTTGGGTGATGATGCAAAGTTTTCGTCAAATTGGGCAATGTTTGAAACGACTGCTGATGACATCAAAACATGACGGGGTGGTAAGTGCCTTACAGGGTTAGCTAGGAAACTAGCCTGGAATGTCTGAGTGCAACTGACCTTCAGCATTAAGGGTCGTGTGTGATGAGCAAATTGCTTCCTGTGATGTTCATTCTTAAAATAAGGCTGGGATTATTTGCACTGCACACGTAGTCACTATGGACAAGTAGTCCTTCCCACTAGCTTTTTTCAGGACTACTTGGAGTCCAGCTGAAGGACCATATGGAGTAGTGGGTACTCCCAAATCTTCTGAAAGAATGAGACAAGAGCTGAACTTTTTTGGGAAGGTTTGTGTCCTGTTACATCTGGCATAAAAGTAACAGCTTTTTGTGAAATAAAAAGCATTTTACCATACCATCTCTCATGCTCCTAGGATCTGGGGGTGAACACCCTAGAATGTTACAGACCTCCTAGGATGAGACATTCTTTCAATATGCCACCAACTATATACTTCTACACACAAATAATTACATGCAGCATTCTACCATATGCAAACTTATATCATTAAAAGAGTATACTGACTACTAAGTACAATTTTCCTATTAACAGGGCTCAAATCAAATTGCTTCAACATGAACTTAAACAGGCCGTTCAGTGTGGCTGAATTAAATCAAAGAAGAGTAGGCCAAAATTCCTCCACAGTGATGTGAAAGACTCATTGTGTCACGACCTGCAGGATCGGCAAGGCGCTGATCAGCATCTCTTCACTCCTAGCCCTCCTTCTCTTCTCTTTTTTCCTCTCTCTCTCCCTCTCCCCTGTTTTGCCTGGTTCACTCATGGCGGGTTCACGCCCTCGGTCCACGCCTTCCCGGATCGTGCACACCTGGGCCTCATCAGACCAGCTCTCTCTCCTCCAGACCAGGAGGAGATCAGCTGTTCAACGCTGGATTGTTGTGAAGGCTCTTGTCAGTACACACCTAGCTCAAGTTTGCCGTGCCTCTGTCTCAGAGACTTAACGTGTTCCTTTGTTCCTAGATTCCCCGGATCCGTCCCCGTGTTTCCCCGTGTGGAGTGTGGAAGGAGTGGCAGGTCGCTAGCGGAGTGGAGAGAGGCTGTTCTGAGCGCGTGTGTGATTTCCCCGTTTTCCCTGGAGCCCTGGACCCCTGCCCCTCACGTCTTGTATATAGCACTAACTTCGCACTGTCTGTACATACACTTGGTGAAGATCTGTGATAAACAATCTCTGTTTGAACGCTACCCAGGAGTCCTGCGAGTGGATCCTCTAAGCAACTCATGACACATTGTCAGTTATCACAAACGCTTGATTCTTGACAGTTCTTGCAAACAAGCAGGTATTAACTTGTTTTTTCACACAGGGCAGGTATGTTTTGATAGCTTTCTTTTGTTAATAAGTGAAATTGTTTAAGAACTTAATTTTGTATTTACTTGGGTTATCTTAGTCTATCTGAAATATGTGTAACACTTGGGTTTGTGAATAAAGTAATATTAACCCTGTAACACCAAGTGTATTATATTGAACGCATCAGTTTTTGTGATCGTATGAGACTTCTGCATCATCAGTATGATTATTCCCTGAAAAAAACCCTTTAACAATACATACTGAATACAAACAATAAATCTGTTACATGTACCAAAAAGGAAACACAATAATGTAAAAACTCTGAAAACATTCAGCAAAATATTAAATACTTCACTCTGTTGGAGGTAGACATGAATATTACTTTGTGTTGACCATGACTGATGATTTTTACTACTTCCTAATTGTTACGTTTTTTTTTGTTTTTTTTTGCTGTTGTTTTCAAAATCATAAAGTAAACACCAAGTACTGCATATAACAGTTACTAGGCAACAAAAAACTTGACAACTAACTAATCACATGCAGGCATTTCAAATATGTGGTCAGTCTCGTTGTAATCAGCTGGCTACATTAGGCACACCTGCCCTCACAACTGAACATCACACAGTGGATATTGACTTTCTAAGCCCCCCCCCCCGGAGCTGTGTCGTCACTTTCACACACACTGAGCAGATGTTTCTACTGTTGGCACAGAGTTAGCAACTGTGAGCGTGATCATAAATTTATACGTGCTATTTATAGTGTGCGAGAGACAAATGCAATATTAATGCCCGTGCTTCTGCAGTGACAGGGTGACTGCTGCTAACACAGTTGATAGGGACATGTAGCACACAGCTAACAGCTAGTTTCTTGGGGCTGAAAGCAAAAATGTTTAGTCATCGCCACCATATTTTATGACAGATTATGTAGTTAAATGTGTCAAAATACCCCGACCTTGTTTCTTTTATTAACATTTACATCACACATGGTGATTCTGAGAGGGCCCTCAGGCCTTAACCTTTTGCCTCCCTCATTTTGCTTGCTCGTAACCTCTGCAGCAGTTGGAGCCTGTTCTACTGTTACATCACCCATAATAACAGCTTGAACTCCATGCCGGGCCTAAATTTAGAGTCTCAGGTGAAAGTGGAGCAGACTGTTAGACAGAAAGTGGCCAGAGCAGCCAGCAGTGTGACATCCTTTCTCTAGCATGATGGGCTTCCTGGTGCTTCTTTGCATTTCCTCCCAATGAATAAAATGCCTGAACAGGATCCTTCTAGCTGATATCATTTTTCACCTACCATCTCTTTAAATGCTGAATGCTGTTGAAAAAATGCATAGTCCCCTGAAGTTTGGGCATAATATTTTGCTCTAGCCCCACTGGCCTTTAAACAAGAGTAACTACTCAGACAGAAACTGCAAAACCCAATGACCTTGCTCCTGTAGCACTAACCCTAGATTCTGTAAAAAGGCAAAACTTAGGGTTAGGGTTAGGTCTAAGCCATGAGTGAGGATGATTTAGACTCAGTGCCATACTGCACTGAAATGTACATACCACATTTGTGTCCCACAGAGGATGGGACTTTTCCACGCTGATGTCTTCAAGTTGTCCCTGATCTACCCATTGCCAAACTCTTTAACCCAGTGTTAGTGACATTAAAAGAAAGCATACTTGAAAGACTTTGCTAATACAGTTTTGACCCATCGGGCCCTGGCATGGGACTTCTGGAGGCATCCTGTGGTGTCTTGTTTCATGACACTGGCAGCAGATTCAATGGATCACGCAGATGTTCAGTTGGATGGGATCTGGGGAGTTTGGTAGCCCCGTCTGAGGTTTGGGCTCTTTGTCTTTTCCATTCCTGAGCAGTTTTTGTTTTGTGTTTGAGAGCAGCTGTTGCTGTCAGCGAATACTGTTGTCATGGGGGCATGCTTCGTGTGCAATAAGGCTTAGGTGTCTGGTAACATTTATACGAATGCCAGGATTGTAACAGGATAATTAGCGTAATTTCACCTGCGGTTCTCTTGTTGTGGTTGATTGGCTTATATTTTCAAACAAAGGATGCAAGGAGATGAACCATAGGGTTGTAGGTTGGTCCACCACTTTGATCCAGACTAAAGCAGATCAATTATCGCTCCTAGATGGAAAATCGTGATAATCTAGCACCACCACATGGCTGAGATTCAAGATTTCCAAGAATGATCTTCATGAATCTAACAATTCCTTGACATTTGTGATTTTGAAAGAAATTTCTATGAGATTTGGTGCAGACACCCATCGTTAGTCATCCCCTGACTTTTAACCATACAGCACTGAAGTGGCTGTAGACGGGATTTTCTTTGAAACCCAGTCATTGTATTTGTTGTGTCTGCTTTTTCTCAAAACAACGGTGTGATTACAGTCATTTACAAGCAGGAAGAAGTTAACACCGACTGTCACAAGAATGAAAAGTCTAGCTTAGTTTTGTCAGATCATCTAAAACCTTCTAATTTTGTGTGTAATGTCGGGGATATACATCATATGCGCCTGAGGAGAGAGCTGACTGAAGAACCATCCAAGTCTGGCAGTGCAGCAGCTGCTCTAGAGCCCTCTACAGTTTGAATCCGGCACTCACAAGAGATTCTTTCAAATCACTTTCTAAATGACGTGTTTCAGAAGCACCGAGGATCAATCACAGAATGAAAAATAGACACACAGATATGGTGACATCTAGCTACAGAGGTTAAATCTGTTGTATTCACAGCTGTTAGTTTATGCTTCAGGATACGCATTTTTAAAAAAGGTGGGTTTTAGAAGCTATTTATACAACACTATGGTCAAGGAAACATCCACTTTCTGAACTACTTACCCAGCTTACGTTGAAGGGGATGGAGCAATTTGGGTGGACTACCTACCAGGCTACCCAGATAGGTAGGTATAAAGCTAAAAGTTGTGGATAAAAGAACTTTAAAAAAAGATGCGCCTAGTTAAAATTAGGATTAGCAACATGTTAAGAATGAAAAATTAGCGACATATAAAAAAAACCCTGGTAGATAAAACTGATTTATAAATTATTATCTGAAATAAATATTGTTCAGTTGTTAGATGTAATGGAAAAAAATGACTGAAGTAGATAAACGTACAAATACGCACATATCTTTTAGAACTTTTAGGTTAAAAAAAATAAATCACTGAAATTTTTGTTATATACAGGTTATATACAAGCTAAAACTAATGTAAAATGATTACTCAAAATAGAGGTTAAAACAAATGTGTAAAATGATTAGGTACAAGTAAGTTTTGGATTATAAAATGGATTGATTATTTAGAAAAGTAATAATCTGATTTAATTCATAAGTGGAAAAATAAACTAGCAATAGCACTTTATTTTTTGCTAAAAGTAAATGGTGCAAATATTTTTGTTAAAAGTAACAGATTATGACTAAAATAATAGTGCTGGCTATATAGTTATAGCATATAAAATTAATCAATAAATTGTCAAACTAATAAACTAAACATAATGAAGAGATTGTTGAAACTGCTAACAGTAACAACATGTCCAGACACTGCCACAAGGTAGTATTTAATAAAAGACAAGTGGCATGTAGCATTCATTATTCAATTTTCTTATCCGAGTCACTGGGTGTGGTGTGGGTCATATAAGCCTTGACTGTCAGCTTCCAACAGCACCTTTTTATTTGTCTTTTAGAGATCTGCCTGCTGAAACATGAAACCTCAAGAGGGCAGCAACTTCCAGCTAATCTGACAATACATCACTCGTGCTAAAATAATTTCCATATTTACACAGGAGATGGAAGTGCTATAAAGGAAAAAATGTCAATAGTTTAACTTTCCAGTAATTATGTTTGAAGACACTGTTCTCCGGAGGGAGTGTTTTGGCCGTCGTGTCAGTGGCTCCCTCTTCTACATCTGCAGCCTAATCGGCGTCCTCTAGCTTCCTCTGCCTTCCTGTGGAAACTGGAAACTGCCAGCGTTCTGTTGTCGGAGCAAGATTACTGCTCGCAGAGTAGGACCTGGGGAACAAACGTCAATGAAATATTATGAACTTCCTCTTCGACTGTAGAGACAGCTGTTATAAATAGCTAGGATTATTTTCAGACAACACTTGTGAGATTTACTCAGCCCTGGTCTGATCTGGTCTGGGCTGAGCCTCCGCGTGGGATCTGGTTACAGGATTTGGCCTGCAGTGCCCAAATGCCCTTGATCCATGCAGCTGTAATACTGTACGTTTACACATGTGTACACAACGACTTGCAGTGTCACAAGTAGGACTGAATGCAGGAAATGCATGTTGGCTAAAGTAATATAAAGTCCCATTATATAGAAAATCACAAATATAATAGATGTGATTTAGTTGCTAATGAAAAGAAAATGAAGACAAACAATGATGAGAAATGTAACCAGTCACAATAAAAAGGTGTAAGTTGAGAGACAACACATGAAAAGGTGCTGGGGGGATGTTTGACCATGGTGAAGTAATATCATGGTTATGGGCCATAAAGAGGGGAATGTGACCATCAAAGGAATCTGACCAATAAATATTATTAAAGATTATATTCAACCTGCCATGCCAATGGAATCAAAGATGTGTAAGACTTTGGTATTTTTATATTTAGAATTTTTTGAAAACTCCAAACTACAAGAAAATCATAACCACCACCATCAACAAACATGGTCAAAGTCATCCAAGGATACTCTTGGATACTCCTCGGATCCAAGGATACTTGCAGGAGTTCTTGTTTTTAGTCAAGAATTGACAATTCTTGTCAATTCTTGACTAAAAACACTATAAATTATTTCAAAACACATTTGTTTCATATAAAAGCAGATATATGATGCAATACATCTTCCCCAAAACTGAAATGTCATTTTTCAGGTTCAGAATTGTTACTTTAAAAAAAGTTAAACATTGTAACAAAGTTCCTTTTAGCTAACAGATAGTAGATGTTATTTTATCCATTATGTTTCGCTATTGCTTTATACATAATACTAAAACTTTTGCTTCCTTTAATAAACTTATTTATAGCTAACCGTATCAAAAGGTTGTGTTTCACATATTTAGCTCAGAGGCTTTAACACAGTTTTAAAGCTTTTATGTTAATGAAATGAATGAATGAATTTTATAACATACAGAAGCCAGTAAAAAAGTCATATTAAACATTTTGCATAGCCTAACACAAACTTAAGCCCACTCATCAAATTCATTTTAACTTAACTCATCACTTAACTTATTCAATTCAATTCAATTCAATTCAATTTTATTTATATAGCGCCAAATCACAACATAAGTCGCCTCAAGGCGCTTCATAAATTATCACTAAATTAAAAGGATGCAGATTATTGGTTTTATCACAGCTGTAGGTGGGCTGAGTCAGAAGTCTTGGCCTGGAAAATCCCAATATTATACTCTTCGAGAGGAGTCACCTTTGTCATATGATGACTTACCTTCAGACTGTTGTAGCAAAGGAATCACACAGTGACACAAACACTACACACATATGTATAAAAAAGATAATACATCATTAATGTAAGACGGAAAAAGTGGCTTTGGATCCGCCTTCCCTTTCGGTAACCACTGAGACACTTCTCCATGGCAATGGAAAGGAAAGCAAGGAAGTTTAGTCTCCACAGTGAGAAAACGGATATGATGATTTAAGCAGGAAAATAGGAAAACAAATAATTACAACCCTTTTGTGACCTAGACTTACAGTAACAGGTTTTTTAACTGCCGTGTCCTCATCAGTGAAGATCTAATTACAGTTGATGGAATGACAGTGATTAGTGTGTTATTCTACAGTTCTTACTTTACTACCAATAATCTGCATTTGTGGCCACTGTGCTCTGTCTTTTCCATTTTATTTTCCTTTTTAACAGTGTATTTTCCTTGGAAGTCAATCACTTTGAAAGTATGTGTTCTTATTTTAAAATAGAACTGGGCAGAGACGTCTCAACTCCAAGATTGTGTGTAGGAATGTTCGTGTGCGTGTGTGTGTGTATCAAGGCTACAGATTTCCTGTTGATGCCAAGCTGTCAGAAATGCCTCCAGCTAGGGTCAGAGGTCAAAGGATGTGTGTCTCTGTCACTTCCCCTCTCTTAACACCAATGTGCGATGCCCCTTTGCAAAACACAGGACATACAAATCCTGTGTGACGCTCATGCTGAAAGATATCCCTTTTTATGCTACTGCTCATTAATTATGTATCAAAAAAACCTTTTATAGCGCAGGATTAAGAGAGATAAAAGCTGAATACTCTCAAGACAGACCCCTCTATGTGCTCTAAAGCTATCTTTTCTGTGGCTTGGCCATTCACCACACATATTGTGATGTGCCCAAATAACTGGATGTGACCTGTGGTGATAACAGTGAACCAACAGGGTGTGAGGGGTCTGGAGTCATCAGACAGTTTAGGAAGGTTATGCGAATGATGCATGTTTATCTATCAGATTGAAGCTGTTTATATGCTTCTGTCTCACATGCACCAGTGTTCGACTCCAGTGTCAAACATTACCCCTTTACCCCTGGAAGCATTCCTTCTGAGGAAGTGCACCACTATGAGAGCACAAGTCCCTTATTTGTTTTTAGAAAGCCAGCGATGCAAACGCCTGCCACTTGTGTGCACTGTATATCCTTAGAGAAGCACAAGTAGGTTCCGTCATGCACACGCTCAAACAAAAATGCATCTCTCTCACACATACGTACACACTAAATCATCTGGGTATGTGTTGTAAATGTCTGAAGCAGAATGCTGTTTCTAGAAGGAAACCATGTTTAGACCAACCCTGTATGTGTGTATGTGTGTGTGCATGCAATGATTAGTTATGTAACAGGAGCCAAAACCATAGGTAGCCATTTTGGGGTAAAATGTAGTTCATTTAAAATAAGAATTATAGCAAAAATAATGTTAACTTAAATCAATGAAGAAACAATCACATGTTGAGGTTGCAACACCTTACAAAGTATAAAGTATTGGCTAGATGGTAAAAATAGACAGCTCGTTTGTAGTAGTAAAAACGCCAGAAGTAGTGAACAATTGAAATTTTGGGGCATATTTAGTGCATAAATATATCCAGCTAAGTATAAAATAGCTTAAAGTAATCGACAACCTGCTCCTAGCTAGCTAGATTGGTGAAATATTAGCTAAACGCAATGGTTTAGTTGGCCGGCAAAAGCTAATTAAGCTAATTAAACTAAGTTACCTCATTGCAAAAGGTAAAAGGTAAAATACCAGTAACAGAAAGGTTAAGAAAATGTTAGCTAAAAGTAGCTTTTATTTAGCTAAAAGAGAGAGAGGTTAAATCCTAGCTAAAAGTAAAAAGTAAATTACTGATAGTGTTCAAATAAATGCTAAAAGAAGATAAATGGTAAAAAGAGCACATTTTTTAAACTAAAATGAAAAGATAAGTGAAAAGTTTAAACGGTTCAAATCATATAATAATATGTTAAATAAATAGTTTACTAGCTAGCTAAAATTAGGCCTAAACAATAGGTGAAATATAGTTCCTTTAAGGTAAGAAATGATAGAAAGACAAGCTAAATATATTGTGTAAAATAATGATTAAATAGTTTAAATATAAGTGGTGTATAAATCATAGTGAAAGTAGATAATTTGATGAAGCATCTCTGAATTCTGTCACTCCAAGTAATATCCTACAAGTGGAAACTTTGACCTGAATGGAAAAACAAAGAACAATTTCTGTCTTTTTAAATTAATGGCATTAAATAGTCTAACGTGTAAAATCTGCTTAAAATAGCAGGTTCAAGACAAGAGATAGGGCATTTCTGACTGAGGCAGAAATGCATGTTGGCTAAAGTAATATAAAGTCCCATTATATAGAAAATCACAAATATAATAGATGTGATTCAGTTGCTAATGAAAAGAAAACGAAGACAAACAATGATGAGAAATGTAAAAAGATGTAAGTTGTAAGTTGAGAGACAACACATGAAAAGGTGCTGGGGGGATGTTTGACCATGGTGAAGTAATATCATGGTTATGGGCCATAAAGAGGGGAATGTGACCATCAAAGGAATCTGACCAATAAATATTATTAAAGATTATATTCAACCTGCCATGCCAATGGAATCAAAGATGTGTAAGACTTTGGTATTTTTATAGTTAGAATTTTTTGAAAACTCCAAACTACAAGAAAATCATAACCACCACCATCAACAAACATGGTCAAAGTCATCCAAGGATACTCTTGGATACTCCTCGGATCCAAGGATACTTGCAGGAGTTCTTGTTTTTAGTCAAGAATTGACAATTCTTGTCAATTCTTGACTAAAAACACTATAAATTATTTCAAAACACATTTATTTCATATAAAAACAGATATATGATGCAATACATCTTCCCCAAAACTGAAATGTCAAAAAATGTTAAAAACCACTGATCTAGACTTTTATTAGCTAGACTTATGCATAGTTTATTTTACTGAAGATACAAATTGGTTTACCACTCGCTACGAGAGCACATATTTTTTATCTAACTAAAGACACATACTCACATGCACTTGTAAAACAAAAGACACATATCCTCTGTAAGTGGCATCCATCTTGAGTCAGGCTACGTACTATATCCTTCCCGTGAATTCAGCCAGAGAGGCAACATCCTCTAGCTGCATGAGAGGAAGCTCGCCTCACTGTGACTCTCCGCTCTGCAACAGGTAACACCCCAACCTCAAATCTCTGTGCCAATGCTTGTAAACTACTATCACCTATCACTACTGTATGTCTACTGATCCTCATGCCATGAAATAACATTTCTCTATCAGGTAAGGGTTCCCACTGAAAGATACTGCATGTGGTTTCTTTTCATTTCAGAGAGAGATTTGTGATCTTGCATGCATTTCAAATGAACCTACTATCTCTGATAGCTGCATTTTAACTTCTCTTGGGATGATCTTCTACGCACGTTCTCTTTCTGCTCAATCTTAGGAGTTGCAATTCTTTGGGGAGGAACAAGAAACACACACAAAAACAGGATCACTTTAACAGAAGCTAAAGGAATAAAGAAAAAAATGATGGAACTGAAGATCCAGCTGATCCCGACAGGGGAAATCATCCTTTCTCCAGGGAAGAACGGAGAAAACCACTGCCACAACTGCAAGGTCAGTTTGCATACACACTGTGACCATGGCTGAGGCCAGCTCTGGAGTCAGATTTTTCCACTCATCTTTCATTCCAGAGGTTTTATGCGGCTCAGTGGGTAGACATAGGTGCTGACACAGCTGAGGTTATAGGGTTCATCTCCCACAGGGTTGACATTGAGAAACTTTTACATAATTTAAGAACTGTAAATTGCTTCAGAATCTGCTGTCTGTGGTGATAAATCAAATGATCTGTGGTTAGTAAATGCATTTAAATCTTGCTTGGCCCTGAGCAGCGCTCTCCGAATTATAAAACGCATTACTCAGAGGTAATTATGCATGTCAAACCAGGCTGCCTCTGTAATTTCTGGACACGTTAGAGACATCTGTACTGTGTTACAGAACAAGACTCATGATGCTAAGTGTTAATTAGAGTGAATAAGAACCCTCTTTAAAGAAGTCACGGTGCTTTAAGTAGCAATTTGACATTCATAGTGTCTTCCCTAAAACGTTCTTTGGTGATACAAAGGGCATTTTTGGATATTTTCAGTAAATACCAGCACAGTTATAATATTGTGCAACATTGAGTGTAAAAGGTTTAGTGTCAGCCCTCACATAATTAATTATAGAGAGGATGTTGTGAGTCAAGTAACCTCACTGCATATGATGCATTTGAAAGCTGCTACATCCAATGTTTATATGCTAACAGTAAATTGATTATAGAGCGGCTTATAGAGAATTTTCACCAGACTCCCAGTTCCCTTCAGCTCTGCACAGAATTCTTACCCTGTTTTGGTTTGAAGGCCAAATGTTTAATGTTCTCCCGTTGTGCTGCTCGAAAAGTCCAAAAGTAAAGTTACCAACTAGCTGGTGAGCACAGGCAGGTATTTCCAAGTAAAGGTGGTTGAGCACCCACAGCAGGGCTAAAACAAAGGCAAATATTGAACTTGTTTTTATCAGGTGGTACAAAACCATCCCCAACTTAATAATGACACTGGGTCATATTGTAGTATCTGGAGGAAGTGGAAATAAAGGCGCTTGGCTCTTTTAAAGGGACAGTACCTAACCACTGGTACAGATATGTTGATGACACCTGGGTCAAAACCAAAACCCAAGAAGTAGAATCCTTCACTGCTCACATCAACTATGTGGATAAAAACATAAAGTTCACCAGGGAAGACACAAAAGATAACAGTTTGCCATTCCTGGGCTGTGCCGTGCGCATCAAAGAAAATGCGAACCTCAACTAGTTTTAGCGGAAGCCCACACACATGGACCAGTACCTCCTCTTTGACTCCCACCACCATCTGGAACACAAACTTGGATTAATCAGGACCCTACAACACTGGGCAGAAAATGTTCCCTCTTAGCCCAAAGGAAAAAAGAGAGAACACACACATGTAAAGGAAGCTCTTAAAACATGTTGTTATCCTAATTGGGCTTTCATCAAGTCAGCAAAGATGCACAGAAAAGAAGATCAGACACAAACTAGGGAGGATCAGAAAGACAAACGCAACAACACTGTCATCCCCTATGTAGCCGGTTTATCAAAAAACTCAGGAGAGTCTTCTCCTACACGTCTTCAAGAAACTCAAAGAAGTCCAGACGCTTTTCTTTCCAGGCTTCTTAGACTACGATAAAATGAATGACTGAGAATCTTCAAAGACATTTTCCTAAAAACAACAGTACAGTAAAGTACAAATAAAATAAAGTACAGTAATGTAAAAAAAAACAAACATATATATATATACAATCTGAACTAAGGCATAAAATGAAATATCCTGTCTTCTTGGAAAGCTTTCTTACATTAGTAGGAAACAAAAAAGAGTTTTTACAATATCATATCCCCTGGATGAGGTAGATTTGGTGTGTCTGTGTATATGTGTTCATGTGTAAGTGTTTTTGTGCATGTCTGTGCGTTTAAGTGTGCCTGAAAGCCTTTAAAGGACCATATGACAGGAAAGCGAGTGTATCAGCATTCTCTCAGATTTGGCCTGTGCTTTGATGCAACGTTTCCTGTTGTAGAAAATGGAAGTTATGATGGTGTAGATGTTAATAATGTCAATAATTAATGTTAATAATAACTCAGCGTCCAGCCTAACAGCTCCAGGTCAGTGGCTCTGAATTTTACTGGCCCATGTATATTTTTACTGGTCTGCGTAAAGAGAAAATTCTTATTTATCTTAAGTATTAAATATTAATATTAGTACACCCCATGCCCCCCTTTAGACTCACCCCTGCTTGGTGTAAGTATTACAAATAGAAAAATAGGATGGCTGCCATCAGCCTTCAGCAAGCTGTCTAATTTAAATCTCACATTGGAATAATTTAACAGTTCATCTTGTTTTTTTATAATCAATTTATCCAAGTTAATCGGCGAATCTTTGTCGCTTTACTAGCAAGCCTAGTTAAAAATTGGTGCTAAATAACGAAGGAAGAATTTCAATCTCCAAAACTGAAGCAGAAACAGAAATTGTCTGTGCCGTAAAACAGGCCATAATGTTAGTCGGATAATCCTCTAGAACAAACAAGAAAGAGGTCCAGTTCAGTGCCTTTAATTAGCAGAGAGGAGGCCAAGTAGACACAGATGTCGAGCAAAGCTTCTGTGCTCCTATGTTTAAGACTTATCGGTTTCCAAATGGAAGGAAGGGGAAAACTATCTATAGAGAGCAAAAACCTTTTTGTATTAGCGTGTAAACATGCCTTTAATGGTTTAAAGTTTGGCATTTAAAATAGGAGTCTATTCCTCGCTTTTGAAGCCTGTCTCAAGTGGCCATTAAAGGAACCACAGTTTTTGGCAGTAGCCATAGCTTTACATGTAGGTGAGCACACACAGTATAAAGAAATATGCCCAGACTCTGAAATAGACTCTATATGACGTGACTAACACATTTCATTTACATTTCAGCAGTTCATACTGTATGTGCTAAGCTCATATGTAATATCTAAATATAGTTGTCCACAGATTGAATGGAATTAGCTTTTTTTTTAAAGCAGTCCCTTTATGGGATAAGGTATCTTTTGGTAAAGTGTAACCACTGGCAGACACAGGTTTCAGATTTCTAGTAAGAGAATTGTGGTGTGGTTAATGCAGCCTGCTGCGTGCTGGTTAGTAATGACTGGGGAGGACTGGAATGTACCGTAGCCTGGATGGGAGGAAACGACAAAGACATTCCAGTACATGGCTTCATTCGTTCCCCTTCCCACATTCCTTAAAGGTCAACTCACCCTGCGTCTGGGTACATGTGAAAAGTGTGCGTTCCCTGACCTATAATGTGCCTGTCTTTCGACATCAAAAATCAACACCCACAATCACAGCACAGCACAGCAAAACTCAATTAGGTAAATTAATTCAGCATGAACAACTATGTACTGACTTTACTGATGAAGTGTGCAAAATATTCAGAACATTTATACAGTTCAAACTTTCCACAGATAATGCTTTTCCCCCTTTCTGAAAGTCTGGCAGCTGGTCAGTGAATGCTGGGATCACACTGAGTTTGTAGGCTAATGTAGGACCTTTTTGCTGCATTACAGCAGATAAGTCAAGTAAACCTTTTTGGTTTTTGTTAAGTGAAATCAGAACGATGTGGTGTTAACTGATCCTGGGAGAAAAGGAAAGATCAAGTGTGCTGCTGTTTGTTGATTTTGGAAGGGAAGTGAAGAGGAGACAGGGCTGGGCCTGAAGGTAAGGGGCCAGTGTCATGACCAGCTCTTCTGCCCATCTACCCATCCCCAACAGGATACAACGTGCGTCTGTGTGTGTGTCATTAGTAGCGGGTTGTTTGAGGCTGAATCGATCACCCCCCCCTCTGGCAGTGAAGTCACATTACAACTGAGACTGAGGTCACCTTCACATGAGCACAGTGCATAACTGCAGTAATATCTGATACAAAGTCCAGTGCAGGGGATTCAGACCTGGAATGTTTAATTTATTAGAGAAACAGAGTACAGTTAGAGTTTATCATCTAGGCTCTGAGCTCATCACTGACTGCACTTGTGACACACATAGAAAATGGGGAGTATTATGCTGTCAGAGCCTACAGGTGTATCGTGGGATGGTGCAGTTTTACTAGCAAGCCTAGTTAGGGGTTCACAGAGCAGGCAGCGATGGAGGGCAGCAGTAGCACTGGCAGGTCAGAGAGAGATGGAAAGTTTTGGTGCTTAAATGTACAGCCAAACTGCAAGGGTTCAGCTGTATGAACATGTTTAGCTGTCAAGTTTTCCCAATTCTTCAATGGAAATCTTAAAGTGTATGATTAAACTCACATCTAACCAATAATGTTCATTATTGGTCTCCTCTAGAGTATTGGCAGGCGAAAACAACCCTTATTTATCTTATACTTAGTGCAGGAGCTTCATTTATGTTACCTTTTTCTTATAAATGATTCAAATATTCAAAAATTGAGTCTGTCTTACCCTTGCATAATCAGCTAACTTTTTTTTAATAACTAAAAGGCATGAAAATGTGTTTTTATCTTATATCATTATCTGAGTTACAGGCCCTCACAGGGGTGGATGAACATTTAGCACTCTTTGGTTTGCATCAGATTTTCTAGAATTTCTGAGCCTCATAACTTTGTATTGCATGCACAGGAAAAAGCTTCAGTCTTTTCATGTTTATCAGGACTAGGGGAAGAGAGAATGCATAAGTGAAACAAGATATGACAGCTGTGTCACATCTGGACGATGCTCAATAAGGACAGTTATTAAAAAAAACACATAAAAAGTGCAAATGAAATATTTTCAAATATATATCATGACACTGACTTTCACTCATTCATAAGTACAATAATTTAAAAAAAAAATCATACTTTTTTAAAAACTCCCAGTAAACCTTTTATTCATTCTCTGCTACTCTCAGTGTTGTATCTTAAAACTTCAACAACCTTTCAGTTATTGTAAATGAAAATTTTAGCAGCAAGGGTGGAAATTTCTAGTTCTTTTTGGGGAATTCCTTCCTAACCGAAAAAAAACTTGGGACGATATGTAAAGTAAAAACAGAATGCAATGGTTTTAGAAACTCAGAAACCCATATTTTATTCACAAGGGAACATAGAAAACATGCCAAATGCTTGAACTGAGAGATTTGACTGTTTCATGGGAAATATTAGCTTATTTAGACTTTGATGGCAGCAGACTTTAGAGTCTCCTGTCACGAGGTAGAGCTGTGAGTGATGGCGTGCAGGTGCAGTGACGCCTGTTTGGACAGCAGAGGGTACGAGAACCCCGTGAAAACGACGAGAGCCGCTCAATGGAACCGCTGAGCTGCAGTTTGCCGCTGAATGGCCGGCTGGAATGGCACTGGTTAGCGGTTCCTCCAGACTCAAATATCTAGCATTTTCACGTCTACTTTTATGTCTGCGCGCATTCGTTTTCTACCCCACCCGTTAGAGGTGCCGATGGATGAACTTTTAACCCGCTCAGAGCTCAGATGGGTGGACAGCAATAAATGGCTATGAGTGTAGTTTGCGATCTCCCAGAGAGTTTGGCTTTAAAGTGAAGGGATCTGGTTATGATCTTCTAATTCACGAAAGCTGTCTGTGTATCATTCCTCATTTAAGCCTTTAGTCTCTGTCAGCTCACCGAGCACGCTGCCATTTATCAGGCTAGTAAAAGCAGACATTGTTTTGTTTTTTAATTTCTAATGTCCCAGAGACAAGAAGATAACAAAACCGCCTGAAGAGTATTAGCAGGCAAATCATAGTGCACGACCTGTCCGAAAGAAACTCATGACTCCTACGGGAGCTGTAGCAGGGTGGGTTTTTGGTTAACTTCCTGGTATTACGCGGCTGTGCTGTCCTTTGATGACAGAAAAATAAAGGAGAAATTACCACACCACTCCCATAGAGTTTAACCCCCGACAACTACGACACACTGGCAGTTTGTTTCATACTAGCATATCAGTTCACGAAGCATAGTGTAACTGATACCTGCAGTCCAGGAGAAGCCTCCGCGCTGAGGCAGAGCCCACGGTTGGAGAACTGGGAGTGGTGGTGGGAGGGTCAGGAGAAACCCGGCACACAGTACGTTACCTACTGACTAACAGTGACCAGTCAGTAAGTGGACTGGCTGACACGGCGGTGAGACACAACTCCAAAACCTCGGGCGGTGGAAGTGAGTGAAAGAAAAGCGGCATAGCGCGTTTGACCTCGGCTGTTGTAAGGTAAGCTTTCATCCAGTTTAAACACAGATTTTAAGCTAGGTGCCTCCCGCGCGCTCCTCGGCAGTTGCCCCACTGTGCTAACTGTTAACTTTGGCTCTTTCCAACCTCACGGCTGCTGTACTGGTTACAGCTGTGATACCGGCCAGTCTCTGCTCAGTAATTCATGACAGTGCAGCATGTTTGAGTGAGTGGGCTGAAAGTCCCCGTGTGCACCATATGGAGAGAAGCTTTTCACCAAAACGCCATTGTAAAAAAATAATAATAATAATGTGGGGTTTAAACGCGACACAGCCTGTTTGTGACTCATTTTACTCAGTTAAACCATACATCAAGACTCGTAATACAGCAGCAGGAGTCGTATTAGTACAGTGTGGTTAAAGCGGTTAAACTCGGTTATCTACCGCTGCTTCATTGTCTGTCATAAGTAATATATTAAATTGTGATGCATTTCAGCTAACCTAGCTAAGTGCTTAAGTTCAAAGTTTAAACATGCCCTGCTGGTGTGTTGCATATATACCGGTTTAAAGAATCAACATTACATGTGATTATTTTAAGTGTCTATGAAATCCAATACGAGACCCTTTTTTTGTTTGAATGAAGTTTGATCTGGCATTCTCTCCTCCGTCATGCGTACACTTGTGTAGGCTTGTATTTTCTGGGAGCTGGCTCACTGGCGTTCATTGAAAAGCAGTGCTGTGGACTTTTAGCCACGTAGTGATTTGGCCTATAGCCCACAAAATCAAATCCTTCAGGTTGGGGTTGTCTTTTTATAGACGCGAGACAGACACAGATTAAGACAGCAACTACACGGCTCACGTCACAGGCTTGCACACCTGATGCAAGCAGAAGGTGCTGCGGTGTTAATCATTTTAAATGAACCATCTCTTAATGGAGCTTTAAGAGACCCTGTGTATGTGTCAGAAGACGCTGGACTTGTGCTGAGAGAGAGTGTCTGCAATTGAGGAAGGGCTTGGTCCACAAACCTGTCCACCTGTTAACCTGTGTGTGGTTTGGAAGAGGTAAACATAATGCAAGCAGCTGGCATGTAATGCAGCCCACAGGTGCTGATGGCTGTCACGGGATGAGAAATCTGACCAAAAATACTGAGGCAGTGTTATAAAACCATTATGCTGTTTTTATCTTTGAGGAAATTGTGTTTTGGCATCTGATCTGCTGAGCTTCATCTTGATTATAAGAGAAGTTGATTACCCACCCAGCAGAAAGGGGAACGCAAAATAGCCTGTGCTGTAAGTTAAATAAATGCATGTGTAGACAGAAACCAGAAGATAGAAGTTCAGACAAGTGAGCCAGAATGGGCGGGATAGTCCTCCAGGGGTCAAGCTGCAGCAAGACCAGCTGACCAGTTCCTTCAAGGTCACCTGAAGGGCAGGGCCTCCCTGTGCTGACTAGCATGCTGCAGCTGCTCCTCAGCGTCCTGTTAAAGTGCTCTAAGTTTGATACAAGCTCCTTTTTTAAATGGCAGCTTGTAACTGGAGACGATTAGCCCTGAAGCAGGGTTGTACTGATCTGCAGGGTGGTCTAATTTGGGTAGCTCTTTAAAGAAAGTGCACATGGTGGAATTTTCAGCGTGCAAAGTCTGCACAATTATTCTACTTGGCACAAAATGCACATCAGCGTGCTGCAGTCAATACATTTTTCCAAAGCAGTTCCACCAGTTGTATACTCTGTGGTCAGTCACGTTTAGCTGCAGTTTCCATTGGGCTGATGTGGGCAGAGGCTTGAAGGCAGTTCTTCCCTTAGTGCTGTACTGCCGGCTTTATTTTATTTTAATGGGCTGGGCTTTCGGAGATATTTTGGTTCATGGCTGAGGCTGAGTTGTGGTGAGAGTGAAGTTTGGTAGTTTAGGGTGAGGTTGGGCTCTTCACTGGATGTATTCCTACTTCTGCATGGCTGGGTGTTTTCACTTTCCCACTTTAAGCACAAACACAATGCAAGGGTTTGTGAAATGCGTGCGTGTGTTTTTTAGATTATTAAGATAACGTTATGAGCTCAGTTTTTTTTCCCACACTCTCAGTTTTAATTTCACATCTAATTCTTACATGGATTCACATGAGAGGAAAAAGTTTACTGGTCCTGGCTTGTTCTTTGCCTGTTTATCTGATCAAATACTAGTCATGCTTCCCTCCACATTGTTATGGAAGTTAGTAGATTCCTTCATGCCAGATTTCTGCTGCCAGTTTCTGCAGTGCATTGCAGTGAGACCAGATGGGTTAGGGGATTGCCTGGAGCTGAATAAATATTGAATAAAAAAAGAGCACTGGGCGACTCCCACTTTGAGCATTTTGTTTTGGCGGATACAGGACCTGCTGTTGATGGGGTGAAGGTCTTCCCTGGCCTGTAGTTGCTCAGCTGCATGTCAGGTGGACTGCAAAGGGCACACCTGACAGCCTGGCTCCTAGCCAGATCACTACCATCCGCTATACAACAGGAAGAGAGAGGAACGCTTGCATGTGTGAATGTGTGATGTGTGTTGATACACGCTAATGTACTTAAACTTTGCTATAGGAAATACTAACTGTGGGGTGGGGGGGGAGAGACGGAGAGGAATTTCCCTTCATTAACCTCATAATGTCAACTTGTCCTGTCAGACTTGTTGATGTCAGCAAATGGGATGTGTGTTAAAGTTACGCTTGTCATGGTAAAGGGAGTGTAAACTTGAATGAGAGAAATGTACAAAACATTGGGTTTGTGGGCGGGAATACTGTCAGGGCCCATGCACAAGTAATGCCTCCTAGGTGACTAAGCTGCCTGCATGTAATGAGGTTTGGGTTAAGTAAAAAAAAAAATTAAATTAAATTAACTGCCATTTTTGTACTGAAGAAATTATTAGTTGAACTGTTGACTGTATATAAAAGATGGATGTAGACACAGTGGCATCTCCCGTTGTTTTCTAGACTCTGCCCTTTGAAGCCTCAGTTAGCTGGCACGTTATTTATTTCTCAACTATAAGTGACCATGTTTGCACAGGAGGGTGGAGTGCTTAGTTAACAACTAACACTAGTGAGCTTGGTTGGTAAGCTGCGTCCATGAACAAATGCGATGTACTGACACATGATAATGATTAAAGTTAATACTGCAGTTTAAAAAACAAAAACAAAACTGAAGCAGAAACTTCATGCATGGGCTTTCACATACAGCATACCTAATAATTGTTAAATAATTTCATTAAAGATGCCAACACAGTCAAGAGACTCGATACTAATGGAAGTGAGCTCTAGTAGACGTTGGCTGTGTTGGTCATAGTATTAAACTAACTTTGGAAAAAAAAAATTGGGTTGGGGACCGCTGGTTTAGATGACGACTACCACTTGTTTGCATGTGGGAAATGAAATCAGACCTTGAAATGGGAAGGTGTTGGAGATGCTGGAGGGGAGCGACTATTGATCTACCCTTGGGCAGACAGACTGTTGGAGACAGAGAGCACAATAACAGATTAACAACAGCCATGTGGGCTGGTACAATCCATTTCTATGGTTGTAGACTTTCTACATGCAGAATAAACTTTTTTGTTTCTCATCTCACCACGACTGATTTCTGGATAAGCAATCTGTGAACAACTAGCAATGACTTTGTGCTTGTTTTTTAAAGGTTCAGATTTCAAAGATTTGAAATAACAGAATTGCTGTAAAAGCTGAAGTGACTGATTGATAGATTTATTTTTTGTTAAAATTTGTGTAGTTGAAGCACTGGATTAAAGAAAGTATTCAGAGGAATTCAGTTAAAGTTGAAGGACCAAAAGAAAGTGTAGATCAAAGTCATTTGAAAATTTTTCCCCAGTTGTTCCTGTTTTTTTTTGAATAAACTGACCACCACCAGTAGGCAACAGGTGAAGTGTCTTGCCCAAGGACGCAACGACCGAGACTGTCCAAGCCAGGGCTCGAACCGGCAACCTTCCGATTACAAGACAAACTGCCAACTCTTGAGCCACAGTAAATGCCATTTGCTGTTAAAATGGACAAAAAAGAAGTTGTAATGTTTGTTCAAAAGAAAATTGGCTGAAAAACTGGATGTCTGCATACACAAAAGTTCTCCACTAAACACCCTGTATCAGTGAAAGCACAGAATCACAGTTAATGTCATTTACCTTTGTCACAGAATGATCTCGATGAAAAGATGTCAAATAGACAGGCAAGACTGCAGTAATTCATGACTTTTGTCTAATTCTTCATCTCTTTAACAAAATCATTTACATAAAAGTGCTTAGACTCAGTAGTGGGGTAAACATCAGTGCCATTTCAGTGTAACACCAGTCAGTCACTATAGTTAGGGTTAATCAGAATGAATCTCAAATAGTGAGCGACACTGCTCTCTTTATTCTTGCTGCACCACTTTACAGTTTGATGGTGTTTGTTAGTGTTAGGGTGCTGGAACCCTCTAGCTGAATGGAAGTAATGAGAGCTTGTCTCTGACAGTGAGTCAGAGTGTGTTACCTGTATGATGATGACTCGCAGTCTCGTAGGGTATGTGAGTACAGTATGTGCGCCTGGTTAGTTTTAGCTGTGGGCAGCTGCTTTAGCATTTCCATGTAATTCTTTCCCACATCCCAAAGCTTGACGAGTGGTACAGCGAGCCCTGCCCTGCTGGGAAAAAATGCTATGAGTGACTGCATCCTGCTTCTCCTCAGTATTACAGCCTTGACTGGTGTGTGACTGGAAACCACCCTGGACATGAGTCAAAATCCACACCAGCTTCACTGCCATTTTTGTACATGCGGTGTGACTGTAGGAGATGGGAAGTCCTCAAAAGACTGAAAGTTGAATGCTTGAGTTTTATTTATTTATTTGTCACAGTTCAAGTGTATTTGATGTG